TGTGGGGGGTGCCCATCCCCCCCCCAGCCGTTTTTTTTTTTTTTTTTTTTTTTTATATACAGAATTGTTGAAGTTTATGAAGGGATTTAAATACAAATTTTAAGAACAGGGGTTAATAGAAAGATGCTTGGGAGGAGAGTACGCACCCAAAAGCATGGATGTGGGGAGTCTCAGAAGAGTCACACTTAAGTGTCTTTACAACAGATACATATATGTATGTATGTATGTATGTATGTATGTATGTATGTATATATACATATATATAATTTGAATGGCTTCTGAAGTTATATCTCAGAAAATTGTCAAACAACTTTTCCTTTTATTTTCATTTTTCTGGGAAATGAGATGATAGGCTGGCTCCTGGGGTGCACTAGATAGGGCTACACCAAGGGCCTTGGGACATGTTATAGTGCAAATAAAGTTTATAGTCTTATTTGTAAAATTTCCAGAAACCTGTAGCTTTATGTCTGGGAAAGCAGCGGGGTGATATGTGCTTAGGCCTTAAGTGTAGCTCATTACTGTTTAACGTTCTTATTTGAAATCTCTATATAAAGGGAAACCTGTTTCTTTGTCAGCAACCTTTGCACCAAACATTATTAATAGTGGGGAAATCTTGGCTCTCAGATGGCAAGAGACTCCAACCAGATTCCTTTTCATGTCTCCTACCTCAGTTTCCCTCTGAGACTTTGACCCCTTAATTTTAAGCTTTGTTGGTGGTTGTAGATATGTTTCCTATAACTTATTTGCTGAACAGGGGTAATATATACCCTTGCCTGTCCAGCCATCAGCTGTCACAAACTGTCTCATCAATACAGGATATGAGGGAATCTGAGCATGGAGATCGCAAGAGCATCATTCCATATGAATGTACATGAGAGGATGCCGTTACTCGCCACATCAAACCACATAAGCAATAAAGCAAACAGTAGATTGTTACGCATGGTTCAAAGATTAGCACCAACGTCACCAGGCCTTTTAATCATGTGCTACCTGAGACCTGTGCTGTTAATGAATCACTAAAGCTTACCACAGAACCCTGTAGTGATTTAATTGTGGTGTGTAAATCTTGGAGGGTTGAGGATGCATATCCCAGTTGTTAGGTATATATACCCAGCACTTTAATGGTCGCACAGGTTCTCCTTGTGCTATCAGGACCATAAGTGCAACTGTCCTCAACTTTTGGAAGAAGTATAGACCTGATTATATACTGGTGAAAATACAAAGAACAACTCTAAGAAGAATTGTTTGTTAAATTTTAAATAAAATTTCAAATTGTTCGTGTACACATGATTGCAGGTGCCGAGGAGGCCAGAAGTGATAGATCCCCTGGAGTTGGAGCTACAGGTGGTTGTGAGCCACCTGGCATGGGTACTGGGAACTGAACTCAGATCCTCTGTAAGAACAGTCTTCACTCTTAATCTTTGAGCCATTGCTCCAGCCTATGAATTCATTTTTTAAGATTTATTTTACGTGGGTGTACCTATATGGTGTGTGGTGCCCTCAAATATCAAAAGAGGACTTTGGATCCCTTCGAGGTAAAGTTACAGCTAGTTGTGAGCCATCCGTATGGGTGCTGGGATCTGAACTGCTGAGCCATCTCTCCAGCCCCCAAGGAAGATTTCAGTGATTAAGTAGATTTTTTTGTTGTTGTTGTTGTTGTTTTGGTTTTTCGAGACAGGGTTTCCCTGTGGCTTTGGAGGCTGTCCTGGAACTAGCTCTTGTAGACCAGGCTGGTCTCGAAATCACAGAGATCCGCATGCCTCTGCCTCCGGAGTGCTGGGATTAAAGGCGTGCACCACCAACGCCCGGCGATTAAGTAGATATTTTTAAAAGGCAATAATGGAAGGTTGTATTCATTGAGTATGTATTAGACTAACACCACCTAAAAGAAAAACAGTGAAGCAAACAAAGACACAAAGTAAGTAAGGTTCCAGTTACTGATAGATCTTTAAAATGAGGCTTAGCTTTGTTTTTAAGAGGGTAAGGATTTTTCTCTCCTCTAAAAAAATGCTTTCAGGTCTTCTCATGGTTTGCAGGTAGAAGAGATCTTATCCTGAGGTGCTCTTGAAGCAACACTACATTAGGGACTGTCCCTTTGCCGCTGCCAGGAAAGATGGCAGCCCCAGTGGGGCAGGAGCAGGAAGCATGGCTTCTGCTACTGCCTGTAGCAGTCTCAGGCACTCTCTTCAGAGTCCTCTGCTTCTGCAGAGCTTCTGAATGAGTCAGTATTTGGAGTTTCTTACGAGATGTTATAGATCTAAGCATGAGAGTTAATAGGAAAGAGGTACTTAGGAGGAGAGCCACAAGAGCATGGATGTGGGCTTCTCAAGAAAGTAGCTAGTAGGGTTCTTAAATTTCTGCTCGGCATGTTGGATCACTGTCAGTCAAAATCATTTTTTTTTCCTCTTGAGGATGACTCAATGAAAGCTTTGCTCCCTTTCTATATCCACATGTTTTTGCCTAGGGCAAAGTCTCAGCTCTGGACTCAACTATGTGATCATACTCACACACAAATTAAAGGTTGGGTTTGATGTTGTATTCAACCCATCCATTAAATTCTGTTAGCCAGGATTTTACTACTGGCTCTACTCTCCATTGTATTCGTTTACCAAAGTGTCTTTATCTATTGGATATGAATCTGTATTTGTAACCAACTGTTGAATGAATACCTGCTAATACCTCTAAGCCAGACTCCATAGAGCCCTGGCAAAGGTAGCATGTTGTGTGTGTAAATCTGCAACTTATATTATTAACAGAAACCACCAAGGTATCAGATGGATTTGCTTACAGTTTAGGAACTTCTCTTGAGAGAGATAGGAT